AATGGAATTCTTCCTGCAAGGGGAAGACAAACCACAGGCTTGAAGACAATGCCCAGTGCCGTCCTTAAAGTGCAAGATAACAAAAGCCCAAAGACTAAAAGTATAAAGGTACTCTACACTTTTATTAATCTTTTATTAATCTGCCATATTTGCTTCATGCTGTTTATGTTTATGACCTAGGCCAACCTTGAGCTGACCTCTGGCCTCTCCTTCCCAGGAGCTAGGATAATGGGCATGTGCCTGATAATGATGCCATGTCTTCTCTGCCCCCACCTTCCTCTCTTCCTCCCTCTCTCTCCCCTCTCTCTTCTTCTTTGCACTCATGATCCAAAAGTCCCAATCACTCCTCCTCTGCGCCTTCCTTTCCTTCTCTCTTTAGGGTGAACAACTATCTTATTCCTCTGGTTCCTGTGTTTACTCTTTCGTACTTCTAAAATTTCATTAAGGGGGAACCCTTACGGACGGGCTTGCAGTTCCCTTTTTCGCTCAACACTGTGTTAGGAGATGGCTGCATAGATGCACAATTGGTGCTCCATTGCTTGGAACCACTGTTTGAATTCCATCACATGCCTGCGCCGCTATTCGCTCCCAGAATCGTATTTCTTTTGAGGGGTGGCGGTGGTTAATCTTATCAACCCTGAGTGTGCCTCCTGGTATCTCCAGAGAGGGTTAACTATATAGGAACTGGGCCTCATTGCACACACTGGTGTAGAAGGAGCAGCAGGCAGGCCTGCTTTTCGTCCCGCCCAGCTCCCACACGGCTAGCTTAGCCACGGAAATAACAACACACAAATTGTATTCATTTAAACACTGCCTGGCCCATTATCTCTAGAGAGTTAGTTACTGGCTAACTCTCAAATCTTGATTAACCCATTTCTAACAATTTGTGTAGCACCACGAGGTGGTGGCTTACCGGGAAAGATTCAGCATGTCTGACCTGGTGGCTGGCTCCATGGCGTCTGCTTCATCGCCCTCTTCCCAGCATTCTGTTCTGTTTACTCCGCCTACCTAATTTTCTGTCCTATCAGAGGGCCAAGGCAGTCTCTTTATTAACCAATGAAAATAACACATAACAGAAGGCCCACCTACATCATTTCCCCTTTCACTATTTAAACAAAAAAGGCTTTCACTTTAACATAGTAAAATTACATATAACAAAACAGTTATCAAGTAAGAATTACAGTTACAATATTTATATCTATTTTATCTTTATCATAATAATGGAAAACTATAACTAACCATTCTTCAACTCCATCAAAGATACAGTAAAGAGAGATTAAAAAAAAAACTCTAAATGGTTTACAGTGTGTTAAAAATACATGCAGGCTAAAGGTTAAAGTTCTTAAAGTAAAAAAGGAAGAAAGAAAGTAGTTGGGTGTGGTGGTACACACCTTTAATCCCAATGCCTGGGAGGCAGAGGTAGATTGACCTCTGTGACTTCAAGGTATGGTAGCACACGCCTTTAAACCCAATGCCTTGGAGGCAGAGACAGATGGATCTCTGTGAGTTCAAGGTGTGGTAGCACACACCTTTAATCCCAGCACTGGGGAGGCAGAGACAGGTGGATCTCTGTGAGTTCAAGGACAGCCTGGTCTACAGAGTTATTCCACAACAAAGATATAAACAGAGAACCTGTCTCAAAAAGCCAAAAGTTAAAAGTAAAAATAAAAGAAATAGAGGTTAAAATAAAGCTGCATAAAGATGGAAAATACACAAAGAATCTTGATACTGTATGCTATTATGCTCTCTTTGAATTGTTTGAATGCTGAGGAAGGAAAAACAGCTGCTAAAAGACTTTTGCTTATAAATGCTGCTGAACTAATCCAAGATAGATATTTTGAAAATACCTTGACTTCAGAATTTGGATCTAAGGATATGATACTTTGGAAAGGAGGTTCTTCCTTAGTTTTCACAGAGGATGAGACCCTGTGGATTGCTTCTATCCCAATATGGTATGATAGGCCACTCCCTCCTGAAAGGTTGCTGTGAACACCCTCAAAAAATTACTTCATTCAACTACCAACTGAGATGAACCTAGCACACAGGTTTTACCGTGAAAGACCTGATTAACAGAGCCCCTATACAGCAGGAAGAAGTTTGGAGAGAAATAACTACGTCCATATTCCCAAATATTGCTTATAAATGTTCTTTTACATTTAAAGGGGGATATGATATAGGTATGAATAATTTGCATTGGTATGGATTTTAAGGTCAATTTTGTTATATGTACATATATTTCTGATCTTGATTGAGGTATTGTGATTGTGTAGTTCATTTAAAAATGTAATGTATAATTAAAAATATAGGTTGTTAATGGATAATCATCGATAATAGTCAAGCTTGTAGTAATGTTAGTTTGATTTTCTAGATGTGCATAGATATATTTCAGATAGGCATTCCTCATATCTTTCAAAGACTACAGAATATGGCATTTTCAATGTTTTAATAACTTAGGACTTTTCATGACAATGAGACATGTCTGCTCCTGGCAGCACCAATCTACTTCAAGAGGAAGATGGGCATCAAAGAGGCTTCTTATGGAGTTGGTTAGTCATTTTGGGCAAGAAACTACTCTTGCCTGGACTGTTGCATAGGCTGGACACAGAGAACCCGCAGAGAGAGGACTGCTGAACTTGCCTAAAGGTAAGATGATCTTTCGGGGTTCCTGATTCATGAAAGAGTCTGCGAGACATTCTGCAAGACACAGCAGATAGTGACTGAACTGACTTTGAAATTTCCTGCTTCATGGAAATGTCTCTGGATACTATGGGCCTGTAGGGTGAAGATGGATGCCCCAACGGTACAGAGGAACTTTGGTGACTGTCCAGGCAGCAAGATGTCTCTGTCATTTCTAGAGTTTTGGAAGTTGCTTACTTCTTGCTTACTTAGGTAATATTATATCCTTCTGGAGTCTTTGATGGAGTTGAAGAATGGTTAGTTATAGTTATAGTTTTCCATTATTATGATAAAGATAAAATAGATATAAATATTGTAACTGTAATTCTTACTTGATAACTGTTTTGTTATATGTAATTTTACTATGTTAAAGTGAAAACCTTTTTTGTTTAAATAGAGAAAGGGGAAATGATGTAGGTGGGCCTTCTGTTATGTGTTATTTTCATTGGTTAATAAAGAGACTGCCTTGGCCCTCTGATAGGACAGAAAATTAGGTAGGCGGAGTAAACAGAACAGAATGCTGGGAAGAGGGCGATGAAGCAGACGCCATGGAGCCAGCCACCAGGTCAGACATGCTGAATCTTTCCCGGTAAGCCACCACCTCGTGGTGCTACACAGATTATTAGAAATGGGTTAATCAAGATGTGAGAGTTAGCCAGTAACTAACTCTCTAGAGATAATGGGCCAGGCCAGTAACTAACTCTCTAGAGATAATGGGCCAGGCAGTGTTTAAATGAATACAATTTGTGTGTTGTTGTTTCCGTGGCTAAGCTAGCAGTGCGGGAGCCGGGCAGGACGAAAAGCAGGCCTCCCCACTACAGACTAAAAATGCTCTTATCAGAACTTTAACAGGCAAAGTGACTTGGATGTTCCCTTCATTCTGTGACCCCACATGTTCTGTTTTACTTGCACAAAACTATACCCATAAAAACACTGCAGAAGGACAATTTTAACTCACCATTCACTTAGTTGTTTATTCGCCCAACAAATGTTGATTGAGGACCAAGCTACTACCAGGAATTTTGCCAGACAAACCAATAGCTGCTCTGCTTCTCCTGATGTTTACTTTGGGGACTGGAGTTCTTTGTCTCTTGCAAAGAGGGAGGGTGACCTTTGGGCAGCTCTCTCCCATCCATTGTCTTCCCATATTATTTATTTATAAGGTTTTATGGTCAATATCTAGAGAAAACTGTGGGTGCACACGCACGTGCGTTTGCATGCTCTGTTCACAGCCAAGGACCGTGGTGACATCAATACCAAAGGAAAGTTTTGAAATGAGGGGAAATGCTTTCACTTCAAGCACTGTTTTAAATCTATGATTATAATTAAAGTTTTTTTTTTTTTTTTAAGGCATCACAGTTTTTTCGGTTGTTTCTTCTTTAAGTGAGTGGTTTTTTGCCCTTTAAAAGAGGGACGCCTCAGTTGGGGAGGTGGTGACAGGCACTTTTAATCCCAGAACTCGTTATCCCAGCACATGTGAGGCAGAGGCAGGTGGATCTCTGAGTTCGAGGACAGCCTGATTTACAAGATCTAGTTTCAGGACAGGCTCCAAAGCTACAGAGGAATTCTGTCTTGAAAAACCAAAAAGAGGGAAGTCTCACTTATTTCATTGGTGTGGCTGGTTTGACATGAAAGGTTATGAAAAACGGGTCTTCTTTCAAACTAGCCTAATAGTTCCCAATTTTGCCTGGAGAAAAATGGACCATCCACACTGCAATCGTTTGTAGCTTGTATCTCAGAAAGATAAATCTCTAAAGACTTTTACCCTCCAGGTAAGTCTTTTTGCACCTGCAGGGAATGTTTACTTTAAAACCCACGGGTCAAGCATCAAACAGTCGACTTCTGAATCTTTCTGGAAGCACCAAGATTTAACACAGCTTCAGACAGATAATGGTGTGGTTTCCCAGATAAGAGGTGCTACGCCCGGTTGGGTGGTGTCGCTGCTGGCTTCTTTGACATTTGTTCATTTTTAAAAGATTAAACCACAGCAGAAATGAGAACGCCGGGGTTGGCTCTGCATGCAGTCTCTGCCAGCCCTCCCCCTCCTCTCTCGTGGTGCATGCAAATCAGCCGGCCAGTCCCGGGACCACGGCAGTCACTTTCGCGCCACTTTCTCAGGACCGCGCAGCTTTATAAAGAACAGGCAGCAATAAGTCCCCAAAATGCCACATTTCAAAGCACATTCAGCAGTTCCCGAGGACACTCAAGATTACAACAGTCGGAACCGCTTGGTATTTTTCCCTCCGGGGCTTGGGCTCTGCGGGTGTTGCTAGAGCAGTCATCTTAGCTGGCAGGACCTGTGAGCCGGCGCGGGAAAGTCGGCGGCCCCGCCCCTCCGGCGGCGGAGTGCGCGCCCCTCCTCTGCCCCGGAGCTCCCTCAGCTCCGGCTGCAAATGCTTGTGGGCTCCGAAGAACTGTCCCCACTCGGAGTGCTTGGGTACCTGCAGCCAGCATGGAGGCTCGCCGCGCGCGGGTGAGGCCCGGCCGGGTGCACTGGGGCGGGGTTGGTGGGTGCTGGACGCCGGCGGGTGAGCGCCGCTCTCTTGTCCCACGGTGCTTCTGTTCTTCGCCAGGTTGGGGGAAATCACGATTGCTTTTCTTTTAATCTTTGCACCCAGGATAACTCTGGGCCAAGGTGATGCGCCTGCCGGCGCGCACGGGGTTGGCAATGCTCGAGGAACCTGCGGTACGTGCGCTCGTGCTACACGTGCGCGCCGGAGGCTGGGGGCTGGTCGCTGGTGGTGGTGGTGTTCGGCGGACGAATCCCCAGCCTTTCCGTCCCCTGGGACTTAGCTCAGCATTACTTGCTCACGGCGGGTGCGTGACTTTCCACGCGTGCACTGGTGGCCCTGGAACCCGCTTCCTCTGCTCTGAGGCCCCTTCAACCACTCTGAATCTGTGGGTTTAGGATTGAAGGCCTTGTGAACATCTCTTGAGAACTTGGGTTGTGCACGTGGGGTAGGGTATTGTTTTAGTCCCAGTATGTGACTGAGCCCAGTTCAAGGGTTTGGCGGTGCAAGCCGTGCACCACGGCGGTTTAAAGTGTGCTTCCTTGTCCCCTCCTCCCCACCCCTTCGCTACCTCACTTGCAGCTGCGAGCTGCCCCGAGTGGAACGTTACTTTTTTTTTTTGCTCCAACGGATGCCAGAACTTAGGTCCTTCCCTGAAGAGGGTCGAAGAGTGGGGGGGATGGGCGGAAAGGAAGACAGTGACTTAAAATAAATATTAGAGGTTCGGGACCCTCGTGAGGGAGGTCTGGGTGAGTAGGCGGGGTCGTGGTGTGATCATTATCATTACGATTATCTCTGGGCTGAATGCCCTTTTGGGTACCTGGCTGGAAGAATCGGTTTCACTCCTGAGTTTCAGTTTTCCTGATTTAAGTGATAGTAATAATGTCACCTTCGCTGCAAAATATTAAGCAAACATCGTTAGCAAGTCCGCCGCCAAGGAACGCTCGCCATAAATGGAATTAGAGTTAATGTCCGCCAAGATAGTTCACCCCAGGCATAGCCATTTCCTCTGCTTTTCTGTGTCTTTTCCGTCCAGGATATATTTGGCCGATGGATGACTCTTGGCCTGCCGTGGCTTGTTAAAACTTAGCCTGTTTTCCTGGCTCCTTTTGATTGGCTGACATGGAGGTCTAATGACATAGATTGATTAGAAAAGTGGAGAGAATGGAAGTCATTTAAGGAGCGGTGCTGTTTTAGGGGATCTCTTGGGTTTTGCGTTGTGTTATACCTTGTTGTCTTGGGCTTTCTCATCTGGAAAACAGAGCAGAGACTTTTGGGTTTCCTTTTGACTCCTGACAACACACTGGCTCGAACGTTTACTGTAAATACAGCCTTTATATTTTATAGCTTTCCCCATCGCCACACGGAATGAGGGGAGGTTGGGTTGCCATCATCTTGGGAAATAATTTTATTGAATCTGAGGAACACAATTTAGTGAGGAAGTCCAGCTCTCCACATCTAGGCGTTCCCTCTCCCCCTAACGCATCCGGGCACTCTTGTGGAGCTGGTAACAGCTTGCCCTTTCGGGTTTTCAGTGCTATTCCTTGGATCTATTTAAGATTGTAAGACCTGGCCAGGCGGTGGTGGCGCTCGCCCAGCCCTCGGGAGGCAGAGGCAGGTGGATCTCTGAGTTCCAGGCCAGCCCGGTCTGCAGAACAAGTTCTGTACTAGTGAACAATACGGGGGCTGTAAATGGGAATGAGTGAAGCATTTTTGTATCTCGAAGTAATTTTACCTTATGAAAACTTTAAAAAAAAAAAACTCTCCCTCATGGGCTGAGGATTGACGCCAGGACTTTGCTTACTAGGCAAATGCTTACCACTGGGCCACACACACACACACACACACCTTAAAAATTTCAAGTCCTAAGGGGCCGTGAAAGGGGTCTGCATGAAGCCTGTGGTCATGGAGAGCTCAGCAGGACTTTGAGTGTAAGTTGCCCTCTAACTTGGCTTCTTGCGCCATGTGTTTGCGGGCTGATAATCCTTGATTTGTAAGGACTGTGCAGCACCTCCGCACCCCTCCTCACTGGAACGGGGCCTGTTTGGATGACTGCCATCTTAAAGCACAGGACCTGCCCAATTTTTGTAGTTTGGGAAATTAGCATCACAGTGCAGTGCCCAACACTTACATAAAAAGACCTCATTAGCTTGGTTTTTGGCTAAGGGAGAAAACTTGCTCTGCCATCTTGCACTTTTGAAATCTCCTTTGAGAAGTACAGTTCGATTAGAAAAAATGAGGTTGGATTTTAGGCGCTGGCATTAAACTCGGTGGAGCTGAATATAATGCTAATGCTTAGGACTATAGGGTGGGAAGAGAAGTAACTGCAGATGTTTGGGTAAATTGATAAATATCATTAAAATGTTCTCCAGGAGTGATCCTTCCTTAGAATTTGACCTGAGTTGATTGGTGGGAGGTAGCTATTGCCAATCTCGTTCTTTCTCTGTAGGGCCTGGAAGAACAATGTGATCATCTCCTCTGCTGTTTAAATGCGCCAGACTGAGAAACGATGTCTTTAGTGGTCCTGTGCTGCAGGAAGCATGCCGCTTAATAGTGTTGCCATTTCTCTCTGCAGCAAAAGGCTCTCAAAGTGAAGAACTTGAAGAACGTCAGATATATGAAGCTGATTTCCATGGAAACGTCGTCCTCCTCTGATGACAGTTGTGACAGCTTTGCTTCTGATAATTTTGCAAACACAGTAAGTGCGGCCTGAGAATAAACAGAATTGAGTCTGCAATGCTCCAAATGCCCCAACATGCTTTGTGCACAATTAAAACCGCTTGCTTTTTGCCTGCATTTCTATACAGCGGCTAGGAAAATACGGCATGCGCTGTAATTTCATTTCACTCTTTGCTGTGGGTCTAGGTAGTAATTGTTGGAGGTAGATGAGCTGCTTACTGTGTCCTTTTGAAATGTCGCCTAACCCAACAGGACTGATGACTCTGTAACAACTCAGAAATCATTTGTAAACCTCTGAACCATTTTTCTTTGTAACAAAAGCCGTCTCTTGTAGTGCACTTGTAAATGTGATTTGCTCTCTGCACGGTTTATGGAAAATTGGTTCTTGGAAGAAGAAAAAAAAATCCACAACCACATTTATTTATTTTACAGAAACCTAAATTCAGGTCAGATATCAGTGGAGAACTGGCTCATGTTTTTTCTGAGGACTCTGATAATCTTTCTGCGGCTTTTCAAGGGTAGGGTTCGCGATGCATTAAGCCATTGTGGATTCTTGCAGAAGCCAAGGCCAGATGTCGCTAACGAATTGGCCAGTGTTTTTCATGCCGACTCTGATGAGGAATCATTTTGCGGTTTTTCAGAGAGTGAGATACAAGATGGAATGGTGAGTTTGAGAAGTTGACCAGTATCAAGAAGTGAGGTACATGCGGAGGCTGGAGAGGTTTGCTCTTTGACCTACCCCTATTCCCCTCCCCCCAGCTCTCCTATCAGTTCAGCTACCAGACTTGTTCCCCTGATCAGATGCTTTCTTTGCCTCTTCAAGCCATGTTTACTGATGTCCACCTTGTAGGTCTTAAACCTTTTTTTAAGGTTCTACAAATCTTGGAAATTCGTTAAACGAAGTTGGCTAGCCTCCAGATCGCTGTTAGCTACAGATCTGGCCTAATCGCAGGAAATGCCTATGTCCTAGACTAGCTACATTGGCACGTAGATGCAGGTGTTCGGCCCAGTACTGGCACAGAGCTGACAAAGACAGGTTCCATAGGTCTAGCTGTGCCTGCTTCTCGGGACCCACTAAGGACACCGTGTAGGCGATACCAAGTAGGGCCTCTGCTGCTTCTGTGTTTGCTGCTCTCTGGTCTGCTTCGCCTGCCCGCGTACGCTTCCCTCCCCTCTCAGCTGTCACTGGAGCCAGTGTAGCATCCTTGGACTTTCCCCTAAGGAAGCAGGGAGTACATTACAATGACCTGCATGTTAACTGTCTTCGCCGTACCTGACAACAGTCCCTATAGGCCACCCATTGGGTGACAGTGCTGTGAGGAACAGCCCTGGCCCTGGGACTGTTTTATCACCGTCTGTCCCAAATGCGTGCTTCCCCTAATCAAAGACTTTCGTCCCAGTTGGTGGCTGGGGACAGGGTGCAGTTCTGGGTGTGGCCCATTTGTCTGTGGCCTGACTATCCTAGGCAGTCCCTTAGCTCTTTGCAGGTATTAACTTGTGATGGAGAAGATGGCAGCTGATTGAAAGTGCTAAGAATTCATGACAGTTTTGTTTCCTGAACTCTGTCCATGAACACTAAAAGCTGCCCTCGGGATCCTTATTTTTGGGTACTGCGGAGCAAACCCAGGGCCTTAGACACATTAAACATAGACCCTGCCACTGAACTGCATCCACGGTCCATTCAATTTTTTGAGGGGCTAGGGAGATGGCTCAGTTTGCCTTGCATAAATGCTGAGTGGGCATGGTGGCTTATCTAATCCCAGCTTCTCAGAAGGCAGAGATAGGATCCCTAGGGCAAACTGGCTGACAAGACAGAACGGCACATCAGAGAGTTTGATTAAAAGATCCTGTCTCAATTAGCAAGGTCAAGGGTGATTCACGATGTTAAACTCAGGCTTACACATGCACACTAACGTGTGCACACATGCAAGAACGAGAGTAGTGTTGTCATGAACAGTCCTGTCCAAAGCTTTTATGTAACTATGTGTTCTTGGGTCTAGACCTAGGAGTAGGTGCCTGGGATTTCTAGAGACCGTTTAACTTTTGAGCAAGCTGTATTAATTGATATGAAGTGGTACCTTATCTAGATCTTGACTTATAAAAAGCTAAGTTGGGCTTATAAGCTAAGCTAGACTGACTGGTAAAATTCAAAGACTAGAAAGATGGCGGGGAGAACTGATAAATTTTCTTTTATTTGCTTGTTTTTGAAACAGGATCTGGCAGTATAGTGCAACTCAAGCTGGCCTAGACCTTGCTGTATAGCTCAGGATTCCTACGTGTAGGGCTTACACACCAACATACCTGTAGAACGGACCTGAAGTTTCAGTTAGGGAAGAGAAAAATCTTGAAATGGTCTGCACATGATGATGTGTACCTTAATCACAATTTAAAATGAAATTGGATATTGACAGTTTAGGAGATTATTTAATATCATCAGAGGCATTGAAACCATGTTCATGGGTGAGCATAGGTATTCCTAGAGGACTTTATGAAAATGACTAAGGATTGGTTTTAAGGAAATGGGAAGGGGGCAGAAGTTTCCACGTTTTAAAATAATGAATCAGAAGCATAGGTCTCAGGATTGTAAAGGTGGCTCAGACAGTGCCTCAGACGAGCAGCCCAGTGGAGCTCTCCTCCGTCGTATTCATTTTCAAGTCTTGATCTTTTGTTACCCAGGAACCTTGCTGTTCACTTAGTGGCTGATTTGCTCTTGTCCTTTATGCCAAACGGATTTTTGTATGTTTTTGTTTTCTGAGACAGGGTTTCTCTGTGTGTCCTCGGCTGTCCTGGAACTCACTCTGTAGACCAGGCTGGCCTCAAACTCACAGAGATCTGCCTGCCTCTGCCTCCCTGAGTGCTGGGATTAAAGGCGTTTGCCGCCACTGCCCACCTCCCTACAGGATTTTGTAGTGGTAATTGGTTTTGCTTGTATGCCAATCAGCAGGTCCTTACCAACTCCCTTTCTCTGGTTAACTAGAGACTGCAGTTAGACAGGGAAGGCTGCCGGACCAGAAGTCAGTGCCGTCATTCGGGACCTCTCAGGGTAGCCATGAAGTTCCCAGCACGAAACCCGCGGGGGCCAGCCAACAAAAAAGCCGTCCCCTCAAAAGCCACTGAGAACTCTGCAAACGATTCCCATTCTGACTCCGAGGAAGAAGACGGCATGAACTTTCTGGAGAAGAGGGCCTTAAATATAAAGCAAAACAAAGCAATGGTAGGTGTTTGGGTGTACCCGAAGGAGCCCTTTCCGGCTTCTCTCTGAGCAGCTCGTTTCTTCTTACCTCCCTGTTTCCGTGTCGTTGTGAAGTCTTAATGATGTATTTTGAATATATATTTGTTTTTATTTATGTGGAGGAGGGGCTCTGCTATGCGTGCAGTGCCCTTGGAGGCCAGAAGAGGGCATTTTGTATCCCCTGGAGCTAAGTGTAGTTGTGAGTTACCACATTGGCGCTGGGAACTGAACCCTGGTCCTTGGCAAGAGCAAGTGCATTTACCTGCTGAGCCTGCTCTTTGTGCGCGCGCACACACACACACACAGCTGCTTTTTAAACTGTTGAGAGCTGGGATAAGCATAGTGGGATATTCAGCAGAAACTTGACTTCGTTAACGTATTAAGTAGAAAGTTGGGGGTAGGCTAGTGTTATTTCCACAAATTGCCTCTTGTCACCAGTTACAAGTTTCGTTTACTTTCTCCCCCTTTAGCTTGCAAAGCTGATGTCAGAATTAGAAAGTTTCCCTGGCATATTCTCCGGAAGAAATTCCCTCTCCGGTCACGGATCCAAAGGTGTAAGTGCTTCTTTCTGAACTCTTGTTTTGGACATGCCCAGTGCAGATCTCTCAGATTTTAGAGTCTTGTTTTTATATTTGGGGGTGGGGTGGGGGTCACTAGAAACTCCCCCCCTTTTTTTCAAGACAGGGTTTCTCTGTAGCTTTGGGGCCTGTCCTAGAACTAGCTCTTATAGACCAGGCTGGCCTCAAACTCACAGAGATCCGCCTGCCTCTGCCTCCCAAGTGCTGGGATTAAAGGCACGCGCAACCACCGCCTGGCTCAAAATCGGTCTTTTTAAGACATACTGAGGGGAAAAGAAAGTACATAGAATTTCTTTGTCAAGTCAAATCCTACTAAGAAGTGGATCTATATTGTGTGTTTCCTTCACCAGTCAAAGTCCCCTAGAAGACGTACCTTCCCAGGCGTGGCTTCCAGAAAGAACCCTGAACGGAGAGCCCGGCCTCTCACTAGGTCAAGGTCCCGGATCCTGGGGTCTTCAGGTGCTCTGCCCACAGAGGAGGAGGAAGAAGAAGAAGAAGAGGATAAATACATGCTAGTGAGGAGGAGGAAGTCCGTGGATGGCTACATGAATGTGAGTCCTCCATGGTATCTCCTTCTGTTACCTCTCCTCGGGAAGCTTGGCATTGAACATATAGCCTTAGGCCACTCCACGTCATCAATTCTCCATAAGCCATCAGTGCTACGTAAGCATCCTTAATTTTGTTCGGTCAAGAGCCAGATTTTCAACTTCTCAGTATTTGTAAGAATTGTTTCTATGCTTCCGGTTAGTTATCCTGACAGTAAATCATACGGGCTGCCCCCTCTCTCCATGAGCCAGAAAGATTTCCCAGACTGAATTTTCTGTGAAAAGTTTCACACGAAGCGTCTTGAGATTTAGGGTTGCAGAAAGGAACTCGGTTTCCTGCTTCTTCTTCTGCAGGACGACGACATGCCCAGAAGCCGACGCCCTGGAACCATGACCCTCCCGCATATAATCCGCCCTGTGGAAGAAGTTACGGAGGAAGAGATCAGAAACATCTGTAGCAACTCTCGGGAGAAGATCTACAACCGGTCGCTGGTGAGTGCCCCAGGGTTGTCCCCTTCCCGAGGACAGACAGTCCCTGTCCTAAGGGTGCTGCACATGGTATATGTGTGGTCTGCACATTCAGCCCTGCACGGTTTCTGTTTGTTTGTTTTTTTTCCATACAAGGGAAGAAGAGTTACAGAATGCCTGGGAAGTCTGCAGTAGGGTTATATGTTCTTAACATAGAAGTTGATTCATGCAGCTTGGATTTACTGTGTATTGTTAGGGTGTATGTGTTAGTAGCTACTGGGGATGCAATGGTGAGCCAAAGGGGTTTGTTGTTGTTGTTGTTTAAATGGATTTGGAAGAGGAAAAATGGATTTGGTGGAATTTTTTTTTTCCTTGTGCTGGGGATCAAACCCAGGATCTTGAGTGGATTAAACACATACTCTGGTCCTGAGTCGTGTCTCCTCCCCCATCACCCCAATAGTTTTAATGATGCTACTATTATCCCACCAATAGAGTGGAAAGCCTTGCTTGAGATACTGTTTGTATTTGTGTGTGCAGGTGCTAAGTGGACTTCAAAGATGGAGTTTCAGGTCCCTTATTACAGTGTGGATGTTCTTTGTGTTGTTTTTTTCTCTGCAAACAGCAGTGTTTGCTTCTTCTCTCATCTGGTCCTCCTTTCAGGGTTCTACATGCCATCAGTGTCGCCAGAAAACCATCGACACCAAAACAAACTGCAGGAACCCAGACTGCTGGGGCATCCGGGGCCAGTTCTGTGGGCCCTGCCTTCGAAACCGCTATGGTGAAGAGGTCAAGGATGCTCTGTTGGACCCGGTAGGTTCCTGAAAAGATTGGGGAGGGACTTGAACTCACGGCGTCAGGAATCCATGGTGTGGTGCTGCATGGATGTAGCTGTCCAGAGAGCTCAGGGCTGCTCTGTGTGTGTGCGTGTGTGTGCTCGCATGCACACGCATGTAGCCAGGGCTCTAGAACCCAGGGCTTTACGTACGCTAGGCAAATGCTCTCACACTGAGCTGGAAACTTGGATCCCTGTTTTATGACTTAGTTATTAATTAAAAAAAAAAAGTCACAGGGTAAATGAGTTGATGCTAACTAAGTACTTGAGTGGCTAAAGAAACGGAACCAGTGGATGGAGGTGAAGGGATGCTTAGCCTCAGGGTGCTTTCCCACAATCCTTCAGAACTGGCACTGCCCGCCCTGCCGAGGAATTTGCAACTGCAGCTTCTGCCGCCAGCGAGACGGACGCTGCGCCACGGGAGTCCTCGTGTATTTAGCCAAGTACCATGGCTTTGGGAACGTGCATGCTTACTTGAAAAGGTAACGGCCATGTGTTTTTTCTCTTTCCCGTCAGTCTCAGATTCATTTATGTGACTTAATAAGATGGTAGAAGGCTGGAGAGTGGCTCTCTTGGGGGCAGGTTAGCGGAAACTGCGTCTTCAGTAGAGCAAGTCATGGATCTAACATGGGTTGGATGGCTAAGACACGTGTGTTGGCAGTATGTATGTTAGGGCTCCATAATTTTTTTTTTTTAAGAAATAAATTTGACTTTCCAAAGAGAATTATTGGTTAAAAACCATCTTGACATCTTCCTCTTTGCCCTTCTCAGTCTGAAGCAGGAATTTGAAATGCAAGCCTGAAGATCCGCTGCCTGTTTTCGGCTTCTCAAGACTCTTGTTGATACTGTCGTTGATGGGCGCCCGAGCGAGAATCGTGGCGATCGTCTTAGAACTCAGTCAGATTAATCTTGTGGGATTCACACTTGTTTCGGGGACCTCATACTTCTAGTTACACTTCAGCTACGTGTAGTTCCCCACAGCTTGCCCTGGCCCCTACCTTGTAGCCTCCCCGCTCCCATGGTCCTTTACTACCACTTCGTTTGAGTTCTTCTTAAGTGGCAGTTTTAGAAAGCATATTTGTTTTATTGGTGTTGAAATAGTCTCAGGACATACCAATAAACCCAAGCACTTAGGGGTACAGTAGTGTTGGGCACAGCAGTTCTGCTAAGTTGCAGAGAACAGCCCTTTAACTTGTTTACATAGAATCGATGCACGCGGTTCAGCGGCTAGCGTGCCGTCGGCTGACGTTTGAAATGGATCAGGCCGAGGCACAAACAAAGGTCTGAAAACAATGTGGGAAATTAGGTAATTGCTGGGAAGTGGAGTAGCACATTCAGTGACTTTCTGGACAAACAGAACTCCTTTGTGTTGTGCTCAGCGTATACCCTGTCGCAGTGGAAACTCGGTTGCTACTAAGATCGTCCCTAAGTTAGAGTGGTCCATCTGTGTACACACACAGTCTCCCTAAGGTACCATACTGACTTAAACTGCTGTAGAAGAAGCCTTCTAGGAAGTGAGGACGAGTCTCTGCGAAGGGCTGATCTGAAATCTTGCTGTGACGATTCAGAAACTTTAAATAGCTTCCTTTGGTTCCAGGAAGTTTCCTGAGGAGGACCCCCTGGAGGTTGTGTCCAGGGTTTCCGTTTAGGTTCTAAACAGTTTTGTGACAGATGGGTAGCTCTGAACCACTCTAGCGAGCTACCCCAGCCGGTTCTTGGGCTGATGCCGGCAGTCGCCCCTCCCCCCCTCCTGTTGCTGTCTCCCTCTCTGTTTGTGATGCACGGTTGGACCTTGAATCATTCGGTGTAAATACAGCTTTGCCCTCTAATGCTTTTATACAAAGGTTTTTATTTTAATAATAAAACATTTTGTTTAAGCTTGTGTGTTTATTTTTGCTTTTTAAAAATCAGTATTGCCATACTTAATCCCCTTGTGTTTTGAAAGGTCATTTCTGCCTCTTCTACTGAAACTTTCTCTTTTGGCTTAGGTTTGGCAGGCAGCTCTTTTGAGCAAGGTCCCATTTGATGGCGTGACTCTTAGCAGAAAACACGTGTGCTTGGGAAGTCTTCTGTTGTTTTCCTTTACTGTTCACAGGGATTGGCCACTATTATCAAATACTTACTAAATGTGTTCCATGCCTTGAGTTTTCTGGACTATAAGAACGGGAACATACAAAAGACAGAAACACTAGAACTGGGCATGGTGGTGCATGGAATCCCAGTTCACACGAGACTGGAGCAGGAGGATTGCAAATTTGAGGCAAGCCTCAAAAAAAATCGCCGTATTATTTTTTAGAAAAGATTTTGTTTTTATTTATATGTTGCTTGGGTTTCTTCTGCATATGTGTGCAGGTACCCTCGGGAGGCCAGAAGAGGGTGTGGGATCTCATGGAGCTTGAATCACAAGCAGTGTGACCCACCAGATGCGGGTGCTGGGAACTGAACTGAGTCTGTGGAGATCAGCAAGCATTCCAATTGCTGAGCCGTCCAGACTCCACAGAGCTCTTAAAACGAAATTTCTAACCAGGATTAGTGAGTTACAGTCTGCATGCACATCCAACCGCATATACCTTTTTGCATTTGTATAAGAGTTTTCCTTTTCAAAGCACTTGGCAGGCTGGAGAGATGGCATTGTTCTTGGGAGGACCCAGCACCCATGTGTTAGTTGACAACCATCCATAGCCCCAGTTCTAGGGGATACAATGCCCTCTTGACCTGTCAAGCCTGGCTCTTTATAGGAAAAAAAAAATACTATGTCGTAGATCTACCTTCAGTGGTAAACCATGGGTGTACACACTGTATAGGACCAGACTGAATGTCATTCACTTGGTACCTGGAGCCAAAAGAAGTTGGCCACATTTTAGAAACCAAGTTGTAATTCAACCCCATTGAGTGTGATTGGGGAGCTTAAATGCCAGAGCTCTTATAAGTTGGTCTATTTGACATTTGTGACTGATGATTGAACCCAGGGTCTTCTGCTGAGTTATACCCAAACTTACTTGCATTGTTTTTGGTGTTAGTGTAAGGGATATGGTTTTTCCTTTAAAATGATCAACAGTTGTTCATTGTGACACCTTATCCTTAAAGGAGCTATGCAGTCTACCAGAGGGACTATTGGAAAAAGCCTACAAGTGATGTCCCCTGTGGAGTGAAGGGAGGCAGCACTGGTTTCTCATCAGGCAGTTCTGCCATAGATGCTCCCCTCCCGCTTTTTGAGATAGGAACTTGTGTGTTGCTCAGTCTGCTTTTAAACCCCAGGAAAGGAAACTGAGCTTGCCCTAGCAGGAACAAGAAAGCCTAGGGAGATGGTTAAGTTCAGTCTGGTGAGGAAGGCTGGGTGCCCAGTCCAACCTGGCTGAGCAAAGGCTGGGAGGAAATGGAAGCTCCTGAGGACCAAAGGCCTCGCTGGAGAGAGGGCGTGGAATGATGGCTACCCAGGGTGATGGATTATCCGCATGGGTGACAGAAACCAGGAGCTTCAGCTGCATGCCTGCATGGATGAAAATCCTCTAAGCAGGGGAAGCCAAAGGCACTAGGTACTAGTCGAAGACGAAGACGTTAGAGGGAAAGAACAAGGAACAAAAGCAAAAGCCACTCACACTTGACTTTTATTCAATCTCCTCAGAAATTTGGGGTTTTGCAATACTGGAGTGTCCAGTTGAGGGCTTCCAGACATCCAGCAGAAACTTACTGGGGAAGTTTTTCCCAGCCGGAATTCCCAAATGAGCTTTCTACTGTGGACGAGTTTCCAGTGTCCAGCCTCCCAGGCCCCCTGTAGGCATTCTTATACTTTGGGATAAACAATGGTCACATTGCTGGAAATGGTTCAATTTTAAGCCAGGCGGTGGTGGCGCACACCTTCAATCCCAGCACTTGGGAGCAGAGACAGGCAGATATCCGTGAGTTCGAGGTCAGCCTAGTCTGTAAAGTGAGTTCCAGGACAGGCTCCAAAGCTATAGAGAAACCCTGTTTCCAAAACGAAAAAGTTTAATTTTGCTGGGCGGTGGCGGCACACGCCTTTAATCCTAGCACTCGGGAGGCAGAGGCAGGTGGAGCTCTGAGTTTGAGGCCAGCCTGGTCTATAGAGTGAGTTCCAAGATAGTCAGGGCTACAAAGAAAAACGCTGTCCTGAAGCAAAAAAGCTTTAATTTGGGGTGGGGACAGGGGCTGGAGCAATGGCTCAGCAGCTAAGAGCATTGGCTGCTCTTCCAAAGGACCCCCCCCCAACAGTGAACCGTTACCCAAAAACCCTTTCTCCTCTAAATTGCCTTTGCCATAATATTTTCTCACCACAAATAATGAAATGAAGATAACATGAGAATGTAAATATTCATGTATCTACTTAGAGATATTAATGATGACTGATATTGCTACATACCCTCCCAGAAGAATGATCCCCAAACCATGAATATTGTGGCAGAGCAGTGACTTTGTTAGGGTTCCTAGGAGCCGTAAGTCAGCTATTGTGTGCGGTTTGTTTGTTTTGCTTTGCTTTTTGTTAAACTGGCTTGGTCTTGAACTCCTGATCCTCCTTCCTAGGATTGCAGATGTTCACGACTATGCCTGCCCAGATCCACCTGTGTTTCTGTCACCTCGTGCCTGCCAGATACAGCGTGTCTTCACCTTGTCCTTCCCTCACTGTGCCGCCCTCATTGAACAGTATGTGTGGGTGAGATAAGCGCAATTTCTATTCTTCAAAGCGTATGATAGGAGGCTGAAGAAATGGCTCAGCAGGCAACGGTGCTTGCCGCCAAAGCTGACGACCTGAATCTGAGCCCCAGCACCCACGTGGTGGAAAGAAAGACCCCCGAGTTGTCCTCTGAACCTCCATACGTGTGCTGTGGCAAGCGCTGACATATACAGACAAGTTAATTAAAAAGTAATACTGTAGAAAGAGTCCTGAAGTAATACTCAAATAGTGTATGAGCATGGAATTAAAAGTTCCAGAGAAATACAGTCTGGAAGATGCTTTCCTCGGCCCCACAGAAGTCGGCAGTGTGAGGTCATGACAAACCTGCCCTGTTCGCTTTCCTCACTTGCTCTGACAATGACAGGAATCCATATTTTTGCTTTCTCTCGTTTTTGTTTGTTTGCCCGTATTTTAATAGAGCGGTCCTCATGGCAATGAGAGTTTTTCTTCCAAGCTGAGTAGCTGTAAATGTTCTGTTGCTTCTTAATGACCACCTGTGTGGTCAGAAAGTAGAAACTGTCTCCGGAGCTTGCCTGGGTTTCCAAGACATGGCCATTTTGAGTCCTCTGGTGCTTAGGGAGGAAAATATGTAAATAAAATTCCTTTATGCAAATGTTTCCAGCAACTCTCATTGCCAGCCAAATTCTTGTAAATCATGATAAACAGATGCTACTGAGCTAAATGACGAAGTGAAATTATGGAGATAGAGTCTATTTATCTTATTTTTCAGTGTTGGGGAGGGAGAAAAAGATATTAACTAAATTTTCTCAGCCTGCATGATGATTAAGGCAGACACCAAGAACTCTATTAATTGATTTCAGCAGGCACAATGAGAGGACTAACCCACTGGAGAGCTACCCTGAAAGGCAGAACTTCTGTGGCAATTTAGTTTGTTTGACCATAGAACCAGGCAGGAAAGTTTCCCAAGCAATCTAGCATCAAGCTTCCTGGGCCCCTGGGGTGTTCAGTGTTTTGTGACACTTTTTTTCTTAACTTAAAAAAATTAAAATTTACTATTTCAAAACATACAATTTGTTAGCTTCCAGTACATTCACGGTGCTGTGGAGTGCCTCACTAACTGCAAAATATTCCCAAGTCCCTTACTCCAACACTGGTTCTGCACCCTCCTGATGCTGCGACCCTTTAGGACCGTTCCTCCCGTTGGGGTGGCCCCAACCATAAAATTACTTCATAACTACTTCAGTACTTCATAACTGCAGTTTTGCTACTGTCGTGAATTGTAATATAAATATCTGAGATCTGTGGGGTCTCGACCCACGGGATGAAAACGCTGATCTCCCCTCTCTCTTTTTCCCTCTCTAAGCTCCTGGACCCATCTGCTTTCCTTCTCTAGAACTGCCTATTTTGGATGTTTGGCTTGTACAAGATATAGTGTTCCACTTAGGTTTCTGTTGCTTCGGTAAACATGATATGATCAAAGGCAGCTTGGAGCAGAAAGGTTTTATTTGGCGTACAGTCCTTCATTGAGGGAAATAGAGACAGGAACCATAGAGGAAGTGCTGCTTGCTGGCTTGTCTCCAGTGGCTTGCTCAACTTGCTTTCTTATATACCCCAGGGATACCTGCTCAGGGGTCGCACTGCCTCCAGTTTGAATGGTTTTCCTGTATGTATTTGAGTGTACCCTGTCCATACCGTGCTCTCAGAAATGAGATGAGGGCATCAGATCCCCTAGAACTGAAGTTATAGACAGCTGTGAGCCACCATGTGGGTGCCGAGAACTCAACCCCAGGTCCTCTGGAAGAGCAGCCAGTGCTCTTAACCGTGGAGTCATCCCTCCAACCCCTCTCTATTCTATTTTTTAGATTATCATTTGTTGTATGTGTGTATATATGCCTATATACATGTACATATTTATACAGCATGGGCGGGAAGGCCAGAGGAAACAACTTGTGGGATTTTGCGGCAAGTGGCTTTGCCCACTGAGCTCAATTTCCTATTTGCACACTGCAGTGACTCTTCAAAATTGTACCACTTTTTTTTTTTCCCCAAGAAAAATTGTATTTAAGTGTGTGCGGGCGGTAGTGGGGAATAAGCCCACTGTCTGATACAAGCGAGGCTGGTGTTTTCTCGCTGAACTACACACACAACTTGTGAATTTAAATTTTCTTCTCCCATCTTAAAAGCTTCAGCGTCTCTCCCAGATTAGAGCTCACCCTCACATGTTGC